CTGCTCAGCCTCACCTTCACAAACCTGCCCAGTTACCTGCAGTCCTCAGAATAATCCCGACTTCTTACCCAAAGCCCTGTTGGAGCATCCACTCTCCCAGGCCTCAAGCAGGTGGGTACTGCCTGCCTCAGGGCCTGCACAGTTGGGCAAATTCCCCAGCACTGGGGCCTGAGCTGGAGGGTCCCCAGCCCTTGTTTCCTCAACTTTTTTTTTTTTTTAAATAACGTTTACTTGTAGTTGGACACAACACCTTTACTTTACTTACTCATTTTTATGTGGCGCCTGAGGATTGAACCCAGGGCCTCGCACATGTTAGGTGAACGCTCTACCGCTGAGCCACAACCCCAGCCTGTTTTCTCCACTTCTTGGAGCACAGCCCAGGGACCCCACGTCTGGGCTTCTGCTTGGAACCAGTGCACATAGATATACAGAAGGGCTGTTGGCTCCCTGCTAAAGATCTGCGTACAGTCATGGGGGGGGTGGCGGCGGGGGAGAAGTCAGGGGTTGGCTCACACACCCATCTCTGCAGGGGAGATGGAGCAGCATGTGCTGCTCCTTGCTGAGTTGCTGCCAGACTGGCTCAGCCTGCACCGCATCCGCACGGACACCTACATCAAGCTGGACAAAGCTACTGACCTGACCAGCATCGCAGCACGGCTGGCCCATCAGGCTCGTGCAGAGGGGCTGTGAGCCACGGACAAGCAGGACAATCAAGCCTTTCGTTCCACTAATTGGATGAACTTTGGATCTTCCTCCCAGGGTACCTGGCCGCCTGCCCTGCCCATCATATACTGCACATGGGTTGCAGGCTGTGTGGCCTCTGGCCATGTGGAGAGTGGGTCTGCTCCAGGGATCTCTGAGTGGGCTCTGTCTTGGCTGCTGGGGTGGGGAAGCCACTTCCAGCCCCTGTGGGTGTATCAGGGAAGTGGGCTGGGGCAGCTGGCCTTTGCTGCCACCCAGAGTGTGGCTCTGTGGCTGGGAGGGCAGTGTCCCTCCAGATGTCCATGTCCTAGCCTGCTGAGCTGTGATCTCATACAGCAGAGGGGACACTGACACACAGGCTTGCTGGGTGTCCCACCATGAGCTGCTGAAGGGTGCTCAAGGTCCTGCTTAAAGCTAGGATCAAGGTCCACATGTTCCATAGGCCAGCTGAGAGCTGTGTCCTCCCAGGGCACTTCCTACCTTGCTTGAAGGAGCCTCTTTACAAAAGAAATCTAATGTACAAAGATGAGGTTCTGAGAACATGAAATCAGACTTCCCTTTGAAGAATGAAGAGAATTTTGATTTTCTGGATTTTGAGCTAAAATGCCTTGTAAAATTAAGCTTTTTAAAAGTATCTCGCCAGGAAGATCTTTTTTGCTTACTTTGAGGTCAACTTCCAAATACCCAAGGCTTTGGAATTTCCAGTCTTGTTCGCTTTTTGTCATGTAAGATTTGAATAAAAGTTTGCTGCTGAGAGGGCTGCCTTCCTGAGTTGGGCTCAGTTCCTCAGGACAGTGCCAACAAGGGAGCAAAGGTCCCACCTGAGGGTGGCCCAGGACAGTCTCAGTCCCAGACTGCCACAAATTATATCTGGGGAACTGGAAAACACTGGTGGCCCTGGACTATCAGGGTGGCCCAGTATCACCACAGGGTTCTAGAATACCAGATTTGAAGATGTCTGCAAGGTCATGGAAATCCCGGGGAAGCTGGCAGATCTCCAGACACCTGGCTGTGGCACTTTGGGCTCCAGGGCAGGTGGCAGCCACCTCTTGGTCTGTGACTTGTGATGTACAGCCCTCCCACTGAAGTGAGCACTGCCCCAGGCTTCCCCCAGCCCAAGTGATGGACAAGAGATGGTGGTGTAGCAAAGCTGTTTATTGGAGTGATCTTGCTGCATTTGTAACTGGGCTTGGTGGCCTGGTTGTGGCTGTGCTTTAGGTTTTGGCACTTCCAGAACCTGCAGGAAGGGCCCCAGGTGGATACCTGTGGGTACCAAAGGTCACTCAACCAAGGACAAGTAAAACATTTCCAAGGGCAGCCACTGGTGGCCTGTGGACGTCATTTAAGGCACTCAGGGTAGAATCACAATCTTGTCCAGCTGAAGATGCCAGGCAGGGGGTGGGCAGCCATCCTGGTCACCCAGTCATTCATACTGCAGGAGGGAGAAGAAGGGCACAGCCCCCAGCTTCTCCCTGCCCTTCAGCGAGGTCAGTTCCACCAGGCACACACACTCCAGCACCTCGGCCTGCAGCTGGCCCAGCAGTTCACAGGCTGCACACATGGTTCCTAGGGATGGTGTGGGTGTAGGGTGAGGCCCCGGGCTCTGAGCTGGGCCAGCCCCAGGGCACAGGGAGGGAAGAGGTGGTTGCCACAGCACCAAAGCCCCCTCTGGCCCCAGTAAGCCAGAAAGGGCTGAGATGCCACCTGCTCCATGCCACTTCAGTGGGTAGCATTCCCTCCCACCCACACCCAGTCAGCTCACCGCCAGTGGCCAGCAGATCGTCCACAACAACCACCTTCTGCCTGGGCTCCAGGGCATCCTTTTGAATTTCCAGCTCAGCCTGTGGACAGGAAGTGGGCAGTGACTGGCTGTGTGAGCCTGGGGAGTTCAGGGACCCGCTCCTGCCCCCCTGGCCACCCCAGCCTGCCCACCTTCCCATATTCCAGCGCGTAGGAGGCAGACACTGTAGGACCTGGCAGCTTCCCACGCTTTCGGATGAGCACAAAGCCCAGGCCCAGCTCCTGGGCCAGAGAAGGACCAAACAGGAAGCCTCTGGAGTCTAGGCCTGTCAGGGGAAAAGGGTGTCAGGCAGTAGCCCGGAGCACAGCAGCATGGGGACAAGCAGCCAGTGACAAGGGACACCTGGTCTTGTTGGCTCTGCCTAGAAGGTTGATGACACCCATCCCAGGGCCTAGTTGATCCTACAGGCCAAGAACGGTTGCCTGGAGAGGTCACCTGGCCTCTGTTCAGCTCACAGACTGCCTATCACTCCCCAGGGGCAGTGCCTGCTCTGTAGCTCCTTGTCCACAAGAGCAGGCAGTGATCAGGCACCTCAAGAGGCGGACTGAGCTGAGGAGGATGCTCAGTGTACCCTCCCACACGGGCAGGAAGTGAGGTCACCCCTCCCCTGGGGTATGTCCCTCAGGGCAGTGAGCAGGGTGGGATGTGTACCCCTCAGGTGACCTCTCCTGATAACCCCTGGTGGGCACTGAGCTATCCAGGGCCACCTCCCAAGCCCCAGGCTGGGTCCCGGGTCTGGAACACAGCAGGCACTCAACACAAAAGCTTTCGCAGAGGCAACAAGAAGAGGAGGGTGGCTGGGCCGAGGAGGTCAGACGGTCCTAGAGACGCCATGGCTGTCCCATATAGCAAGCTTCTCGGGGAGGAGGTACCCGGCCTGGAACCCAGAGTGGGCACCACCAGAGGGAGGCTTCCAGTTGGTGCCGCCAGGCCCAGGAGCAGCCACCCGAGGGCTGAGGCTGTAGGGGTGGGCAGCCCTGTCTCAGCGCTACCAAGCAGGGCGTCCGGTGGCCCAGAGCAGGCCTGGGCTTACAACCCTTGATGGTGATCCCAAGATGGGTCCCTCCTCCTGGCGGTCTTCTGAAAAACCCCCAAAGCCCTCCCCTAAGCTCATGCGTGGACCCCACACAGCCCTGCCCCCAGGATGCCTGGCCACCCTAAGCAGGCAGAGCCAGTGGGGTCAGGGGGCAAAGGTGCAAGGCTGTGCAGACACTGCAGGCCACAGTGGGAGGAACGGGAAGTCACCCCACCCTGTCCCATTCTCCCATTAAGCGGGGAAAGAGGGGGCAGAAAGGGTAGAAGAATAGGAAAAAAGGGGGGACAGAAGGGTCGGGGTAGAGGTATAGGGAGCAGGACCCAAGGGCATGTAGGAACTGGAGGGCAGGGTCACGGCGATGAAAGACAGGAGGCTAGGCGACAGAAGGACGGGGAACGGGAACTTGGGCGCGGAACAGGAGGACGAGCCTGGAAGGGGGACCTGAGCAGGAGCACTGGACAGGGACGGGCGGGGCAGAGGAGGCCGCGCCGGGCCACTCGCCTGCGATGTAGTCTATCTTGCCGCCATGCGTGGTCTTTAGGTGGCTGGCCAGGAGGCGGATGCAGGCGCGGAAGGAGTCAGGGTCCTTCAGCAGCGGCGAGATGTCCCTGCGCACAAGGACGGGGTGGTGACTCGAGCTGGCGGGGCGTGCAGCCTGCGGGACCCCGGAGCAGCCCACGCACTGGCGCCGGGAGCCGAGCGTGGCGCCAACGCTCGGGCTGTGCCGCGCCGCCCGGGCCGCGGCCGCACCTGAACAGCACGCCCGGGATGGGGAAGTCGGGGAAGCTGCGGATGCGCCGCGCCACCAGCTGCAGATCGTGCTCCGCCATGGCCGCGTGTGAGGGCTCGGGGGCGAGGGCTAGGCGGCTCCCGCGGAGCCGGACGCGGGGCGGGGCCTGGCGCGGAGAGGGGGCGGGGCCGGACACCGGGGGCGGAGCCTGAAACGAGGGCAGAGCGGGAGAGGGGCGGGGCCTGACGCGGAGACGGAGGGCGCGCGGGGAGGAGTGCGTCAAGGGGCGGGGCGGCGCCTGGCGGGCGGGGCCAGGCCGAGGGGCGGGGCTCCTGCAGGAAGTACCGTTTTCTCGAAGCCTTGGTGACGAGTTTCATGACATGTCCTCATTTCTTGCACCACAGTTGCTTCCCGTCTCAAGCATGTTGGGCGGGACGAAGGTGGCCCTGCTCTTGTCCCCACAGGCCCCTCGGCCTTCGTGAAGGGCGAGCCGGGGCCTCCGTCCAAGCTGCGGGAGGCCGGGGCCCACCTCAGCAGGTCGCGGAGACGGAGTGCAGGGGGTGGGACGCTTGGCCGGTCTCTAGGCCCACGGGCCCTTCTGTCCCTGTGCTGGGACCATCGAATCGCCCTAGCCAGGGCCCGAGGTGCCCGGTCAGCGCCTCGGCACCTTCCTAGGCCAGATGCCTGCCTCCCCCAGGTGCAGTGTCCTTCTACACCCCAAGTCGACAAAGTTAAAACAGGTTTTGTTCTTTATTATGAGCCTATTTCTTCGACATTTCCCAACTTTTACGATTTGTTTTGGCAGAACGGCACAGATGTGAGAACCCACTCATGGAAGGCGGCTCCCACCTGCCTTGAGACAGGTGGGCTCACAGCAGACAGAATCAGTGTGCTGAGCCCGGGCAGAGAGCCAAGGACACCGACACCCTCCACAGAAGAAGTGGCATGGGCGTCCAATGTGGGGTGGAGTGTCTGCCTCCTCCCTATCCCCCCTTGTCCACAGCCCTGTGGGGTGGTGTGGAGAGCACCCTGATAGCACTGAGGGGCTCAGAATCCAATCACACCACTGCCATCAATCCTTCATCACCGAGATGGAAACACGCAGGAGCATGGGAGGCAGCACTCACGCCTGTGGCCTCCTTCATAGCCAGCTGAGATGATGGGCTGCAGGGCCAGGTGGGTGAGGAGGAGCAATGAGGAGTGGACTCTAGAACCAGGTCTCTGGCAGGTGTCTGGCAGGCCCTGCTGCTGGCTGCAGATGCTGTCTGGCAGTGAGCGCTTGGCAGTTGGCAGAGGCCAGACACTTCCTGCTCTTGGGCACCTGCAGGGTCTGTGGAGATTCTGGGTTCAAGCAGGTGCTAATGGAGCCAGGAGCACTTCTCTGGGACAGACTCTGGAGGCCTCAGACACTTGCCTAACTTTTCACAGCCTGGGGGTGCCCAGTTCTATGAAATGAAAATTCAAGAAAACATGGAGTTATTCCAGGCACTTTTGTCTTGGCTGCAGTGAGACGCTTGCCCCTGCCCAGGCTGAGTCTCACACCCACAGCTGGGCTGCAGTGGGGAGTCCATCTCCATCTCCACCTGGTCAGGCAAGATGCGGCCTTGCTGGGCATCACGGGAACCTGCAGCCTCGCTCTGAGGGGGAGTGGCTGGGGCAGGGCTGGTGAACATCAAGGCAAGTGTCAGCGGCCAGGGTGAGGCCAGCACGAGGCTAGCTGTGGGCAGGGGACACCAGACACCTGCCCATGTCCTGGGCAGCGCTTCCAGGTGGAAGAAGGAAGTGGAGGACCACCCCAGCTCGGTGTTGGGAAAGGAAGGCATCTCTCCGGGAGGGAGCTGGGGTACAGACTGGAGTGCCCCTAAGGTTCCCCTAGGAGGAGGCTTCTTGTGGGGAGACTGAGGGCAGCCTGGTTTGCTATGGTCTGAATCAGAGCATTTGACGTTTCTCCCCGATGGCATAAGGCACTCAGTGAGCCCTTAGCAGGATGGTTGGAGTGGGGGGCTGTTCCCAACCTTTGCAGGACAGAAGTGGCAGGTGTGTGTGAGTGTCTAGACTCAGGGTCGGGGTTATGCTTCTCGAGGCTGCTGCTGTGTGTCCTGTGGGCAGTGGGACAGGTCCCTCTTCAGGGGCTGTGAGAAGCTGCATGGGGACTGATCTTAGAGACTGAGGAGGTGCCACTGAGCCCCGCACACAGTGTGGCCTGGGATTTGAGGAGCAGAGCTATGTGGGAGGCCCTGGAGAAGGCAGGGCACTAGCGACCCCTGAAGTTCCATGGTAGCACTCACCATGGAAATGGAAGCGGGGCCTTCCCTGAGTCTCGCCTAGGGGGTGTCCTGGACCCTAGCACCCCTTCTCCTGCACTGAAGAGCCTGGATGCAGCTAGCTGCAGCAGTTCTCCCAGCGCCCAGGAGATGGCAGCAGCACACTGGCCAAGTGCCGCCCACTTCCCTGGCCCTTGGCCCGTCAGGAAGCCCACCATGGCCTCTGCACAGTTGGAAGGTAGCTGCTCTCTGGAGACAGCTTGATCCTGCAGAACAGTCACAGAAGCAGCAATGCCCGACCAGAGGGCACTGGGCTCCTGGGGCCAAAAACAGCGGGCCTGAAACAGGGACCTCCCAGCTCCACAGCCGACAGAGGCCCAAGCACCAGTAGCACGGGTGTCCCTTTGAAGGAAGGGCCCAAAAGTCCCATGAGAGACTCAGCCATGGACACAGATGAGGCCACCCACTGGCCCTGACTAGCCGAGGAACCTCTGCCCATCCCAGTCTCCAGTAAGCCCTTAGCAGGGTGGCTGGCCCCCTGGCCCTGGACAAGGACATTCACCAAGGAGGGTGCTCCTCTGCACTGCCTCCCTGCTGCCCAGAATGATTTCTCTGGGTGCTGAGTCCATCTAGTCAGGCTGAGCCCCAGGCACACTTCAGGGGAGTGGAAGTGCCCCTGAAAGGCCAAGCCCGCACCTGGGGCTCAGAGGCTGCACTGTGTGACCTGGAAGGGCCCTAAATCAGGCCTTTGTCCTGCACAGGAGGAAGGAGGTCTGACAAGCTTGGTCTTCTCTGGAGCAGCCCCAGGGCTCAGCTGGCATGACCAGTGGGCACAGGAGCCTGGGTGTGGCCAGGTGAGCAGAGGGCTGGCTCTGGGCTTCCAGGAGACCCGGTGGCTCTGGTGCTTTTGTCACACGAGGTGTGGCCACTGGAACTCCAGTCTGAAGGGGACTGCAGGGGTCCCCCATGGGGTCAAGGTCCCTCCTAGCTGGTACCTGCTTCTGCTATGCTGGGAGGAGGGCACCCCCGGGGCTGTGCACACCCTGCCCCCATGGCCCTGAGCACAGCCCTGGGCTGTTTCTCCGTACTTAGGCCTCCTTCTTGCTCCCCTTGGTAACATCAGTCTGGGCCTCACATCTGCTGTCCTTAACCATTACCATGAAGCTGTCACAACGCCCCTTACGACCTGAGTGGAGGTCTACTCCCTCTGGGGATCCCTGTGGGACCTCCAGCCTGGGGACAGCCCCCCATGTGAATCATGGGCCATGGTGCCTGGTCCCTCCTGTGCTTCAGTGTGCACAGGGCTAGGGGTTGGACAGCTGGCTTGCCTGGCCCTGCCATGCTCAGCTCAGCAGGAGAAAGGCATGGTGGACCCTGGGGCCTGCTGCCTCCCTGAGACAGTGTCCTTGGGTCCCCTGAGGGTTCTAGCTCATCCTCCACCTGCAGAGCTCGTGGGAAGCAGCAGGAGGGCAGTTTCCAACTACAGCCCTGTTCCCTCAGGTAGGGTGGCGACTCTGTTCTATGGTCCAGGTGATACCTGGTGCACCTGTGGCCCTTCCGTGAGGCACTGGGCTCTAGAACACACTACAACCCAAGATGGCTGTGTGCCAGGGTGCTGATGCTCTGATGCAGGCCATGGTTGGCCCTGGGTTCAGGGCGGGTAGCTGCAGCCCGGGTGCAGTGACGGGTCCAGCAAGGACAGTCCACTCACCATGACTGCCTGGTTGCACACATTGAGCTGGGGCTGTCCGGGGACCAAGGCCTCCTGGTGCTGCTGGACAGCTGGGGTGATTCTGCCAAGGGCATCCTGGTACTCAGCACTGCCAAAGCTGGAGATGAGAAAGCCCAGGGTCACTGAGAGGTTCACTGGCAGCATCTGGGGCTGGTCCGCTCCCGGGCTCCTGGCTGGTGCTCAGGAAGGCCCACAGCTGTTCTAGGAGGGAGAGGGCTGGGAGGGGCTGCGTCTGGGACGCCTCAGTCTCTGAGCTGGTCACCAGAGATGGGCAGGCTGAGGATAGCAGCCAGTGGTCAGTGTGGGCTATGGCCTCTGGACTGCTGACTTGGCCTCTCTGGACAGGTGGCCTGTGCCAGTCTCCTGAGTCCTGGTGGGGAGGCTCTCTGGGGACCTGAAGCTCTTGGTGTCAGGACATCCACAATACAACTCACAAATGGGGCCCGGAGTTGGGGTAGTGGGCTAGAGCCTGCGAGGGCAGAGGTGGGGAGAGGCCAGGGAGAGAAGGTGGCCCCACCCAGGAGGCACCAAGGGTGCTCTGGGAGGGCCGCACTCCGGGGTGCTCCAGAGGAGCCCGCTCAGGCGCCTGGGTGTGGCCTTGCCTTGGGTTGGGTTGGCAAGCATTTTCTCGGCCGGTGCCCTGGTCCTGACTCACCTGAGCGGGTACCTCTCCCCAGGGTCTCGTCCCAGGTGGAACATCAGGGGCAGCTTTGTGTGCTCTTCTTGGGTGTGGGTTGTGACTCCTGAGACGTTCTGCCCAGGACAGAAGTCGATGCCCTGTGGGGAGCCGGAGGGAGTGTGGGTGCCTCAGGAAGCCCTGCCTGCACTGCCCTGCTCCTGGGTCTCCAGAACACAGTCCCCGGTCATGCGGGGCAAAGGTTGTGAAGCCTGGGGCAGACGCTGTCTGGCAGCCTGCCTCTGTGCCTCCCTCCATGATCCCGTCCCTGTGGAGGACAGGTCTTAAACACGTTAGTCAACCTCACGTTCTTCCTTTTTTGGTACCAAGGATTGAACTCAGGGGCACTTCACTAATCACACCCCAGCCCTATTTTGTGTCTCATTAGAGACAGGGTCTCACTGAGTTGCTTAGTGACTCACTTTTGCTGAGGCTGGCTTTGAACTCATGATCCTCCTGCCTCAGCCTCCGGAGCCACTGGAATTACAGTGTGCGCCACGGTGCCCAGCTTTGATTTCTTTCTAAAGTACTGGGGATTGAGCCCAGGACGCTCCACCACTGAGCTGAACCCCCTAGTCCTCTTCCTTATTTTATTTTGAGACAGGTTCTTGCTAAGTTGCCGAGGCTGGCCTTGAATTCTTGACCCTCCTGCCTCAGCTCCTGGGTTGCTGGGATCACAGGCGTGGGCCTCTACACCCGACCAGCCTGACATCTTGGCTGCTGCCAGCTTTATGGAGAAGTTCTCCTTCCAAACCCCTGTGCGTCTAGGAGGAGAGGTGGCCTCTGGTGGGAGACCAAGTCAGGGTGAAGGGTCACCAGATGTCCCAGAGCCAAGAGACCACAGACCCAGGGCAGATGCTGAAGTGGAGGGGCAAGGACATCAGAACCATGACCACAGGTGGGCCCAGGGACTGGGGGCCCGGAGGCCACCCAGGTGGGCCCGGGGACTGGGGGCGTGGAGGCCACCAGGTGAACCTGGGTTTGATTGTCTCCACATCCTGTCGATGACCTGGGCAGCCTCCCACTGGGTATTCTCAGACACTCTGGCCTTCTCCAGGGGCTGGAGGTCAGTGGTGGAGCTGGCAGGCACAGGCTCTCTGGCCAGGCTGACCTGCTGGTGTGTGGCTCATGGGCCCTGGGTGTCCCCTCCAGCCTGCACACCACAGCACAGCCAGCTCCCACCTCTCTGCCCCTGGGAACCGCCAGGCAGGGCCCCTGCCACTGGGCACCCACTGGAGCCATGGGCTCAGTGTGCTCCTGCCCTGAGCAGAGGAAGCAAAGCGCCAGTGACCGCGGCGCCCGCAGGAGTGCCAGGAAATGAAAGGGGCACCGAGTGGACAGCTGTGGGCTGAGCAGAAGCCCTGCCAGGAGCCCAGCCTGGGCTTGTCCCCACGCAGACAGCTGCAGGCCACCAGATGGTATGGCGTGGGCTCTGTCCGTGGAAGTTGCTCCACACCTTTCTGGAGGTAGCCCCACCCCCATTCTGGTGTTTTTTTTTTTTTGGCACTGGGGATCCAACCCAGGGGAGCCACACCCTTGAGCCACACCTGCAGCCCTTTTACTCATATTTTGGACAGCCTCGCTAAGTGGCTGAGGCTATCCTTGAACTTGTGATCCTCTTGCCTCAGCCTCTCAGTTGCTTAGATTACAGGTGTACAGGTGTGGACCACCTAGATGCCCCATCCCCTCTGAATATCAGCCTGGCAGAAGCCCAGCTGGGCCTTAGGACCGTGTGCTAGGGAAGCCAGGGGACAGACCAGCCACCCTGTTCCCAGGCTGTAGGGCAGGGGCCTTTCTCCTACGTCTGAACCACCCAGACTCTCGAGGAGCTGACGACAGGGACCCCGGAGAAAGCTAGGGGGGACATAGGGGTCCTCTGGGAAAGGTAGAGGGAGCCCCCATCTCTGGGGGTCCTGCTCCCTCCCTCAAGGGCACTGTTAAGCATTTCTTAGCCACTTGGCCAGCTGTGGCCTCTGGGGCCCAAGGGAAATGGGGCAGGTGCCTTTGGGGCACCAGTTTTTGCTTAGGGCCTGGTGGGGCAAGGCCAGTGCTTAGGACACCCCTGAGCACTGGTGAATCCTGACCTGAAGGAAGAGCAGGGGCTAGGGCCCTGCAGGAGGCGGGCAAGGCAGCATGGGAGGGGCCAGCAGACCAGCAAGGGCCTGGGACACTGTCCTGGGCCGCCCATGTGTCCACAGGAGGCACTTGTGTCCTGGGTTGGACAGCAGTCCCACCAGCAACTCCAAGTGCACCTTCTATGTTGCACGCCTACCTGCCGGCCTCCTGCCCAGCCCAACTTCTGAGCCAGGAGCTGGCCACGCGGACCCCAGCTGGCTCCGAGTGTTCTAGCACTCAGACTGTGCACTGGCTTAACTCGGCTGCCTTCCCAATTAAGGAAAATTAGCAAGGTCTCCAAGTATCTAATGACCTTGGGGGGCTGGGGGCTGGAGGAGGCAGGACCAGCCAGTGGCCAGAGGGCAGGCCCTGGGGTGGCTGCAGTGGGTAAAGGAGGCAGTAGGAGCCCAGAGCCTGAACGTGTGGCATTTCACCCCGACTCTGGGCTGGCACCCTGGTGAGACACCCACAGCTCTATTCCCTGGGCCTGGCCAGGCCACTCTGTCACCTTGTCTGGGAGGGAGTGAAAAGGAGCTCATGTGCACGGCAGGATGTTGAGGCCCATGGGGCCATCTGATGTGGGCCTGGGCTGTGCCTGCTCTGAAGGCCTCCTGTGAAGGGCAGGGCACCTGTAAGGATGTGGCAAGGCCTGAGGGTCTCTGCAGAACACCTGCAGCCCTGAGCACCCTCTGGGCATCCTGCCAACATGCATGGCAGAAAGAGGCATCCCCAGTACCTAGTCCTCGGCAACCACAGAGGTCTGCGCAAGGTCCTCCTGAGCGTGTCAGGGGCCACAGGGCCACCTCCCACCTCGCCAGCCTCAACAGCGGCTCAGAAGTGGGTAGAAGTCTTTCAAGTGTTGCCCCCTTTCTGGGCCCTGCACCCTGAGCCCTGTACCTGTTTAAACTCCTCCCAGGAGTTGGTCCAAGTCCAGAAGTGGGCCTTGTACAGGCCAAGAGTGACCGCCATCAGTGTATTGCCACGGTAATAGAACATCGGCCTGTGGGTGGGAGGGTAAGGATCACCACCGGGTCCCAGCATGGGCTCCTGGCAGGGTGAGCAGTGAGCTAGCCACACCTCCAAGCCAGGCCCAGCTGACAATCTAGAGATGACCCCACTGAGATCAGACCGTGCACCGGAGGAAGGGCAGGCTGAGGTGCTCAGTGACAGAGGCTTAGTGCACACAGACAGGCACGAGGCCTGGGCACACTCCTCCCGTTCTGGGACCTCCAGCCCTTGTGGGGCAAAGGCAGGCCAGCATGGGAGGTAAGGGTGGCAGCAAAGGGCCCATCCTGGCGCAGAGGACCAGGAGAAGTGCAGGTGTGAAGCCGGGGCATCGGCCCCTCTCTCCTCGATGTAAGCGAGCTACTTGTTCAGGTTTCAAAAGGAATTAAGGAATTTTAAAGGAAAAGAACATAAGGAATTTGGGGAAAAAAAAAAAGCAAGCTCCTCCGAAGCCTCCCCAAAGCAGAGGCCCCACAGCGAGCCCGGCGCAGGCTCCAGGCCTGTGAGGTGCCAGCTTCTCGGGCTCACACCCCTGGGCACACAGGCTGGAGTGCCCTCCTCCCACACAAGGGACTGTGGTGGTGGTCACAGTGACTGGGCTGAAGGTAGGCACAAAGCACCTCCATCTCGCCTTTGAGGAGCTTCTGAGAGCCTGGGCCTCCCTGTGCCCTGAGCCCTAGGGGCCTTGCTCCACCCGGAGGCCCCAGGTCCTCTGGCCAGGAGCTCCCAGCCTCCCGTTGGCCTTCAGCTACAGCAGAGGCTGACAGTGTGGATGAGGAGGCTCGGCAGGGGGAAGGCTGTTTGTCCATCACCAACCTGTCCATCAGCTGGCCCTGCAGAATGGCAGGAAGGAGGTCGAGGCCGTCGACAGCCCTGTCACGGGGCGGCTTCAGGCCTGCGAGGGACAGGCTGGTGGAGAAAAGGTCCATGATGCTGCCCAGCTGGTGGCTCACCTGAAATGGACATAGCAGTCACTTGTGGGCACCTCTGCCCTGGCCAGAGGGTGGCTGGATCTGGAGATGTACTCAAGTGCTCATGGGCCACCCCCGCACACAGGGTCAGGTCAAGCTCAGTCGCGGGCCTGGGGGCAGCAGACAGGACCCAGATCATATGTCTGACCTTGGAGCCAGGGCTGGACAGAGACAGGAAAACAGCCAGAGCTGGGAATGGACACAGGGGGTCCACTTAGGCCCAGCTGTCCTGAGACAAATGGTGGCATTTCACACTGGACACCTGCAGCCACAGTGAACTCTGCAAATCCAGGTGGGCTGTAGTTGGGAACAGGCCCCAGAAACACTGCAGAGGACAGCGAGGGCAGCCAGGGCTGACGTGGGCAAGGCACATGGGCAGTGCTCAGGGCCAGAACCCACCGGTGCACCTCTGTAGATAAATAAGCTGGACTCTGTGGGCAGCAGAGTGACTGGTCCCTGGCCAGACCCTGAAACACCAAGGGCAGGACCAGCAGTGACCAGCAGTGACCACAACTCTGCCTCATCAGGCCTGCTCGGGTCCTTCACCGGATGCCGAGTCCACAGCGACGCTGCACTTGTGCTGGGGATGGGAGGCAGGCTCCTCTCTGGTCCTGCCCTCTGCGACCTGGGGTGCAGAGTGGGGTGGGCACCACCCTGGACTGCACGACTGTGGTCAGCTGAGCAGGCATCAGCCCACTGATGATGGCCAGGGCCTCGGCCCTGGCGGTGCTGCCCTCACCTGGCCCCACTCAGCTGAGCCAGAGTTGTGGCCTTAGCTGGGCAAGGAGCCTCTGAACGCAGGGACACCCTCCACAGGAGGAGCCTCGTGGCAGCCGGGGCCCCGCTCCGCACAGGCAGGAACGTGATTCAGAGGCCTTCTGGTCACTGCAGGGGAAGCAGGAGCCTCCCGACTGGTGCCCCCTCCAGGTCCCTTACTACTCTCTGGGTTTTCATATTTTTCAAGGACAGGGGAAAAAATGGGGGACAAGAGACAAAGAGAGACCTTCACCGTCTCCAAACAACAGAGGTGGCTGCTCCTGGCTGGGGTGGCGGGAGTGGGTCTGGCGCCCTCCACCAGCGTGGGCAGCCCTGTGGAGGACGGAGGCTGAAGGAAGGCTGAGGAGGCTGTGGCCCAGCAGGAGGCCTGGAGGCTGCTCCCAGAGCCCCAGCCTCCACTCCGAACCAAAGGCCGCGGCAGCAGCAGTGGAGCGCCACGCAGGTGATGCTGGGTGGACGGACACCTGGTGTCAAAATCTGTCACCACAGCACACAGGCCTGGGTCCCCGTCTAACTCAATTTCAGTTTGTGCCCATGGAAACGGCAGAGAAGAGGCGGACACCGAGCTCTGCAAGGTGTTCTGGTCTCCTTCAGGGCCCAAGGCGATTCCAAACCTGGGCTTCCAGCGGTGGGAGGGCGGTGGGAGGGAATGCCCGAGCCCACTGGATGGGAACAGATGGGCAGGTATCTGGGCACGAGGGCAGCCCATCTCGCCTTCCCAGATGTGTCTTAGCAGGGCAGTACTGGGCTGGACGTGTGCAGCAGTGCTGGGACCCGGCTCCTCACCAGCGAGCAGGGCTGCTGCAGCCTGTCCTGGCCCTCGCGCCTCTCCCACTCCCTCAGAAGGCAGGAAGCTGCCCGTCACTCCCTCGGCCACACAAGGCCTAGAAGTGATGACCCTGGGGCAGAATCCGTCCAGCTGCAGCCCAGTGCCTCTTGCACAGCAAGTAGGATGATGGACGTGGCCCTCTGGGTGCATAGATGTTACCTGCTGGCCACACGTATCCCACCCAGCAATGTGGTCACTGCCACGGCCACTTCTGCCCTTCAAGGGAGCTGGTAAGTTGACAGGGAGCCTGCAGCTGCCTGCAGTAAACCTGGAGGTCCTGATGACTTGGAGTGACCCGGAGGTCTTGGGCAGAGGGTCCTGAGGGGCAGAGCCCAGCGGGGTTTAGAGACCAGGCACATGGGGAAGGTGCCACCCCAGCCCCACATGCTGCTGGGGACACACGGGGACTGTCCCATGCATGGTGGGCAGGATGCCTGGGGGCTGCTCCCAGCTCTGAGAGGCTGGTACGTGACTTGCTTTCTTGAAGCTTTGCCTCCTAATGTGTGTGGCAGGGCACAGTGTGGTGGGCAGGAGGACAGCTCCAGGGACGCCGTGTCCCAGTCCCTGCCCCCTGTGCACGTGGCCTCATGTCCACACATCAGCTGACCCGGATAGGAGAGGTGGCCCTGGTTATCTGCACAGGCCCAGGGAGGCCACAGAGAGCCACGGTAGGAATGGGAACCCACATGGCCCTAGGGGCTGGGGCAGCTGGGGCCTCCGGAGCAGCCGGCCCTACAAACTGGCTCAGTCACAGCGGGATCCCAACTCCTGAACCAAGGGGCTAGAAGCTTCTGCATCTTGAGATCATCACACCTCCAGGCCACTGTCCCCAGAGTGGGTGGACGCTGTGCCTGGCATGAAGGCAGGCCAGGACGGGGATGCGGCAGGACACACCCCTGTCTGCACCCCACAGACGGACATCAGGGGTGCCCTGGCAGGGTGCTGCTCCCTGAGAGCGTGTCCACAGGACACCGGCCTTGGGGATCCTGTGGCCCAGTGAGCTTCACAGACCAGGCCCCACGTGTCCGCTCCAGAGTTCGCAGTGCCACCAGCGCAGCAGAACACCGTTCACCCAGGACTGCCACAGGACGAGGCCCAGAAGTGTCCTCCCCACCACTGGCACCCACACCCCGTAAGATCCTGTGGGTGACAATGACTTACCTGGCCTGCAGGGATGTGCCCGGGCCACCACGCGATCGCAGGCACCCTCATCCCACCTTCAAATGTGGTCTGCTTCCCACACAGAAAGGGGCCATTACTGCCACCTGGGGAGAAAGCCACCACCATCAGGGACATGGGCACGGCACTCTTGGCAGCACTGCCCGTGCTGGCTCCTGTTCTGCAGTGTGGTCACCGAGACCCACCATGGAGAGAGAACCAGGCCAAGGAGGTCAGCTCTAAGCACAGGGTTGGGAGGCCTCAAACGGCTCCAGTCGGGCAGCTGCCTAAGATGCTTCGGCTGCAGGTGTCCAGAGACCTGCTCTGACGAGGAGCTACTGCTGGCCTGGCCAGCAGTCATCAAGGCTGACTCTTCAGGCAGAGCTGGAAAACACTGCCCACGGAGCAGGTTGCTGGGCACAGAGGCCTCTGCTTACGTTAGGTGCTGGGGTCTGCAGGCTCCCTGTGGTCTGGGCAGAGCCCCTCTGGTCCTGACAGTGGGCAGGGTGGGCCAGGGGTATTTCCCACCAGCCAGAGGGAGCGGCAGCAGGTGGTCCTGCATCGTAGCTCTTGGGATGCTGCTGCAGTCTCTCCCTGGTCCTAGGGGTGTGTGGGGTCTGGCACAGGGACAAGCGCTGTCCTTGTCACCAGAGCATATCCTGCTAGAGTGGCCAGTGACCAACATCCCATTTCCCTCCCTCAGAGTGCCCGAACAGGAGCTGGACCGCAGCCCTCCCTGTGGGCAGTGTGCAGCTGCTGACCCTGAACTCTGCTGGGAGGAGCCGGGCCCCACGCCTCTGTCTGGGACGCCGCCTGCACAGAAGGGGCCTGCCTGAGAGCCAAGCCCACTCAGCTGTGGGCTGTGCTGGTTCCTGCCACTTGAAACCAGAAAGCCCGCTGTCTTCCCTCCACCCTCCAGTGTGCACCCCAGAGGAGACGTCCAGGGCCGAGTGGGGACAGGTGAGTGGGGAGGGCGAGCACAAAAGCCCAGTACTTGAGGACCCTGGCGCTGGTGGAGCCCCTTGCTGTCTCATGGGTGACTGGCCCAGGCCACGCACCGCGACCTCCGCCACGCTCGCCTGCACGCCGGCCGTTGCCCGGGCTGCCCGGGGCCTTCTCTAGGAGGCATGCAACCTCTCCTGAGAACAGGTCCTCCCCCACCACTTCCTGCCACCTCTCCTCAGCAAGGCCAAACCGATCAACACTTTGGCTGGCCCCGGGCAGGAAGGGCCACCTCCACCCTGCTCAGAGGCTCCCGACGCAGGGAAGTCCCTTCACGCTCCACCGGGAGCAGGCTGGTGGCCTCTGACGTGTGAGCCGCACGGGCCGGTTCCTTGGGCGGCCAGGAGGACAAGCCCCAGCACTCGCCTTGCTCGGGAGCAGAAATGAGGGCAGCGCCATTATCCGAGGTGAAGAAGACGAAGGTGCTGTCCCCGAGGCGCAGCTCCCGCAGCAGCCTCAGGATCCTCCCAACACTGTCATCGATCTCGCGAACGGCGTCCCCATACCTGTGGAGAGCAGGCAGCGTGTCAGGCGGCAGGACGCAGTGTGGCTTGAGCAGGGGGACCTCTGAGGAGGTGCCCACGGAGCAGAAGGGGGAGGCTCAAGTCAGGTGGCCTGTCACAGGGGAGCCAGCCTCCACCCACCAGCCCCGAGCTGGCCAGTGCCCAGCAGCGGGGATGCTCTGGGTTTTCTGAGCGCCGGTCCCGAGGCAATCTAGCACCCTGAAGCCCCCCCGGGGTCTCGGGTTCCCTGAGGGACTCACCGCCCTCGCCTGCTGGTACCCAAGAAAGATCTGGAGGCATAGACAGGCGCGTGGGTGGCGTCGATGGCCCAGTAGAGGAAGAACGGGCGTTGCCTGGCCTGCTGCCTCCTGATGAAATCCAGGGCCTCCTGTGGGGAGACGGCTCGTCCTCCTCTGCCCGCAGCCCCGCGGCCTGTCCTGCCCAACCCGGCTCCTCACCTCTAAGTAGATCTGGGTGAGGTTGGCCTCCCCAGTCTTCAGGTTGATTGGAAATTCTTCATAAAATCTGAAAACAATACGGCCCCAGACAGAAGTCAGGGTTTAGCCCAGACCCCTTCTCTCTGAGGCCACCTATAGCCATGGCCTTGTTCAGAAGAAGGTGGAAATGTCCCAATTGTGCAACAAATCCAGCTGGAGGCTTGCACTGCCCTGGACACTTCTCCTGGCCCCACTGACCCTGCCCAGGATGGAGCAGGGCAGAGCAGAGGCCGCGGGGCGGGAAAGCGCCAGCCAGGGCTACTTTACGGTGGTGAAGATGGCGGGACATCGACTGTGGTGGTCTCACAGCTCTGGGCACCCCTGCACACCCACTGCAGGCCTGGTGAACATTACGGGGTGAGAGTCACGAACCAGCAAAGCTGCACTTTAAAAAAGCCAATGGGTGTTCCAGCTCTGGTCCGTGATCCGTAAGAAAAGTTAACAAGAAAGACAAGGGCCCCTGACCAGGTGCTGCCGGGAGGAGCTGCCCTACACCGGGCCTGAGCTCCGGAGGGCTCCTCCCTGGGGACTCCCATCCCCCCACTTCTGCTGCGCTCACAGACAAGGGTCGACCCATCCTTTCCCCTGCGTGCCCACTGTCTAGACGCCACAGCCGACTGCTGGGTCCTGCAAGCACCCTGTGGGACGGGCACTGGACTCACAGTGGCCCGGGTGTGAGTCTCCGGAGACTCTGGCTGCGCAGATGCAGCATGGGCCCGCGGGTGGCTCAAGAACCATCACCCTGCTCTGGGGGCAGCTACAGAGGCCAAGGGAGGACTGCTGGGCACCCCGTCAGCAGGGCAGGGCTGGGAGGGAAAAGGAGAGACTGCTTTACCTGCCGACCATCTCCCAGTCCCTATACATAGGGATGTTGGGCCTGGCCCTGTTGTCATAAGGTCCAAAGTGACAGTTGGGGGATCCAAACCACTCATCAAATCCGTGCTTCAGGGGGTGGAACTGGGGTCTATGACCCAGATGCCTAGGAACAGGAACCAGCACTTCAGGGCCCTGCCGGGTACCCTCTGGGCAGCAGCCTACCTCACCTTTGCCCATAAGCCACCCCAACACCCAGTGTGTGCTGAGCCCTGGGCATACCAAGACAGACAGACCAGGACGGCACCCAGGGAGCCCTGGAAACCACCCTCCCTTTCCAACAGAGTGCTGCCACACCACAGAGCACATGGGCACAGCCAAGGGTGTCCACCGGAGGCTCAGTGGAGGCTGGGTGACCGCAGGGTGCTGTGGGGAGCTCTGAAGCAGAACTGTCCCAACCGACTCGAGACCTGAGCACCCATCTCCGCTGTCTCCAGGTTCCCTGGGCTTCCCCTGCCCCGAGCACTCAGGAATGTTCCCAGAGCTGCACACAGAGCGCCAGTGTCCCTCCTCAGGGCTGCAGTCCAGCAGGGCCTCGCTATCTCTGAACACCGCGTGTCTCTTCTCCAGCTAAGGGAAGGCAGAGCCAGAAAGCATGCTACTGCTCATGTCCCCAGGCCCTGGATGTAACCTGCCACAGTGGTCACAGGAGGATGTGCAAAGGCCACTGAGGCTCCTGTACCCTGAGAAGGGCTGGCACTCTAGGCCCTCACACCCTCTTCACTTTTGGGGGCACCTAATCTCACTCCCCCGTCTCCAGCTCCTACGGTCAGTGGGCCAGTGGCCTCACAGGTGCTGGGCAAGGCCATCAGCCCTGGAAAGAACAGCTCCCGCCTGGTCTTCAGAACAGGTGTCGGAGAGGTGGCTCCCGTGCTGGCTCCCGACCACTACAGGTCCAGTGGGGGCTGCCTACTGGCTTGCCTTCCGCCCCTGCACCAAGGGAAGCCTTCTGCAGCTACTGCTCTGAAACCCCAGGCAGAAGAGTCCTTTTCCAATCTGCACCTGGGACAGTCCCTGGTGGTGGCAGCTCCTGACCACTATCATTGGTCATTCGGTGGGCAGGGTCATGGGGGCTGTGGGGAAGGCTGGGCTGGAGGACCAGGGAGGACAGGCTGGCACAGGCTGGCTGCTTTCCCAGGACGGTGGCCTGGCCGGCACGGCCGCCCTCTGGAGCAGGTCACTGGCCTTGTGTGCCCCACCTTCTCCCCTCCATGGTACACCTGTACCACCTGTGACTTCATGGACCTTGAGCTGTAGCCTGGGCCGTGTCCTCTGTGTCTCATGTGCTTGTGGGCCCCCTGCTGTGACAGCCTGTCCTTTCTGAACACTGCTGGGCAGGTGGCTGCCCATGTCCACATCTGTCAGCACAAAGGCCTCAGCTTTGAGGGTCATGCTATAGTCCTGCTCGGACGCAGATGCAAATGACAATGGTCAGGTGTGGACCGACAGGAGAGCCGGAACAGGGTGCTGTGGCGCCTGGGTGTGTGTCCCAGCCCCACTAGCCTGTGTGTGCAGCCTCTGCAGGGTTCCAGCCTGGTCAGCCCCAAGGACTTGGTCAGGCAGACAATATCCAGATCCTTGGTGCTGAGGTCCACATGCAGGACTTCAGGTTGGTCCTGGCCACAGCCCACAATATCCCCTCAGCCCTGCAATGGGGCCTGCTGGGACAGGACCCCCTCACTGAGAAATCTCTGCACAATCGCCCCCAGGCCTCCTGCAGCCCACCCTTGTGCGGCCTCCCACCCCACTGGCCTGTTGCCCACTGCGCCCATGTCCCAAGTCAGAGCACAGCTACTTCTCTGGTCCTGTTGCCTCCTCCACCGCCTGGCCACCTCTCCGGCCAGCTCCATGGAGATGCTCTCCCTGTTCCAGTCCTGCTGCCCTGGGTCAGGGATGGTGAACGGACGGCTTTGCACCAGGGCAGAGCTGCCAGGCCAGGCACGGAGTGTGCTGGTCACTGCAGGGGCTCGTCACTCTGAGGCCACCGCTGGCTCTTCCTCTCGTTGGTGCAGCCCTCAAGGCCTGGCCTCTGCGTTGGCTCCCTGGGCCCTCCCTGCACCTGCTCAGGGACTGCAGGCAACAAGGGGCCCTGTCCTCCCCGAGAGGACCTGGTCCTTGTGTACCCACCCAGCTCTGCTCTGCCACCAGTCCTGGCTGTGGCCCAGCTCAACAGGCTGGCTTCCCTGTTGCCAGACGGTGCTCTTCGGTGGCCTCTGATGGGACGCATTTTCTGGCCTCAGCAGACTCCACATCCCCATGACCATGACCATCCCCAGAGAAGAGTCCCCAAGGGAGCTCATGAGAGGGTCCCAGGCAGCAGAGGAGCAGCCTCCCGAGGGAAGGAGGTCTGTGGGCTGCAGCGTGGGGAAGAGCCCCCAGGACTCTTTCACACCTGAATGTCCCCAGGGAGCAAAGGAGGTAAACATTTCCTGTGCTTGAAACAGGACCTGGTGTGGCAACACGAGCTTCCATGACGTCGTAGGTTCCCTCCTGCTGGCTCGGGCCCCGCCTCACCCACCACAAGCCTGTGTGTGCCACTGTGAGGCTTCCTTTAGTGACCAGGCTTTGGCAGGAGGTCCCGCAGGAGCAGAGGTGGCAGAGCATGGTGGGAGGCGACAGGGGCTGAGACGTGTTGTGGGGCCATGTGCCCGCTCACTCACGGAGTCAGACACCATGAGGTGGCTCTGCAGGGCTGGTGTCCCAGTCTCAGGCCTAAACTGAGATGCTACCAGCACATCAGGGCAACAGCCCTGGGGACCACACCAGCTTTTAGCAGCACCTGTGGGCGATCTAAGAGGCCCCAGGAGTCAGGGTTCCCAGGCCCCTTGTTTGGGCTAGCGTGAGCAGGGCCGCGCAGGGCAGACGCCGGGCGTACCTGGGACTCACCACTTGCCCACGATCTTGCTGGTGTAGCCGGCTTCCTTCAGGAGCTCAGGCAGCAGGAGCTCAGAGTCGGGGATGCCGCCCACTACCTCCTGGGGCGTGTAGGCTGGAGGGCAGGGGTGTGTGGGCAGGGAGTCCCAGGGGTCTCACCCACCCCTAACAGACCTGCACAGTGGCCTGTCAGGACCGACAGGCAGAGGCACACCCAGCGCCATGGCCTGGGTGGGACGGAGGCCACTGCCCCAGGCCTGCCTCCCACTCCTCTGCCCTCCCAGCTGGGCACCCCCCTGCCCGCAGGCCGCACATGTGTCATTCCTACACTCCCTTCTTCTTCAGGGCCCACTGAGATCCCGTTTAGTCTATGAGGTGTCCTGGAGAACCCACCCAAGCTCTGGGTAATTTCCAGAACATTCCCTGCTGTGACCCAGCCTCCGCAGGTCTCTGTGGGTGCAGGGCTGACTGCCAGAGTGGTGCCGGAACCCTGGACAGAGGGACGTGCCCCCTCTGTAGCCATGCAGTGTCCCAGGGAGCATAAGGGGGTGGAAGGAGGGGTGCTGGGCAGGGGTGGGGTGCCCCAGCCTCAGCTCTGTCCTGGTGGGGTCAGTACAAAGAAGCAGGCCTGGCTAGGCAGGGCCTGTGCAAGGCTCTGTGTTGGGGACCAGGTGCCACCTTGCCTAACAACGGCTTTTGGTGGAAGGGCCAGAATCTGTCTTAAAGCAACTTTAGCGCAGAAGCAAGGTGTCTGGCCCTGGGCAGTTTGTGCTGCTCTGCAGAACTAAGGCCACAGGTGCCAAGGGCCAACCACTGCCCCCCTGCCCGGTGTCTGATTCTGGCCCTCAGCCTCCCATGCCTGAAGGCCCGGGACACCAGCCTTCCTTCCCCTGTAGGGCACCCTGGAGGGGCACGGGAGCCATACCATTCCGGGCGTGTGCATTGGTGGTATAGAAGCCGTTGCGGATGGGCAGCCGTCCTGTGAGCAGGGCTGCCCTGGCTACACGGAGGTGATAAAAACAGGTGGTGAGAACAGTTCTACGGTGTGTCCTGCTGAGCAGCTCCCACTAGCACACCTGGTACACTGTCCAGCAACCCTGCCAGCCTCTGTGTGTCCTGGGGTATGGGCATAACAGCCTGCTGATAGGCAGAGGTGGAACCTTGGGCCTGCAGCTCAGCTCTGTCTCCACGGCTCTTGCCTGGCTCTCCCAGCTCCAGGACGGCCACCAGGCTGCCTCCCCACAGGGACCGTCACCAGGTGCTGACCCCTTGCTCCCCATAGCCCTTCAAGGTCAGAGTTCTGTATCTGCCTCCCCAGCAGGAGAGAAGGCACAGCTGCACTGCCTCCCGCCTGCGTCTCATACCCGTGAGTGGGAGGCACCCAGAGGGCTCTCATGGCCCTTCCCTGGATGAGGCCACCTTGGCACTGGGAGACAACAACAGCTGCAGGGCTGGACGTCAACTTTGAAGGCCCTGGACAGTCCCCAAGCCCACAGACAGCCTCTGGAGGCTCAGTGCCCCCTGCTCCTAGCACCTTGGAAGAGCAGGCACTGCCCAGAAGTCCGGGCCTCAGGGCTGGAAGGAGGGGAGGGGCTGGGCTCTGTGGCCCCATCCCTGGGCCAGGAGCCTGCAGACTTACATGGCGAGCACAGAGGGTTGGCAGAGTAGAAGTTTGGGAAAAGCATCCCTTCTGCAGCCATCTGGTCCAAATTTGGAGTCTCTCTGGAAGGTTCTCCGTACACCCCCAGGTCGCCCCACCCCATCTGCGTGGAAGAACAGAGATGCGGAATGAACCCCTTTTGCAGGTGGCACTTCCATCACCGGGGGAGTGTGTGTCTTGGGCCTCCTTCCCCCTAGCAAAGCTCGTGCCAAACACCAGCGGCCTGGGCACAGGCGGCACCGCTGCAGGGTCAACTGGGCTTCACAGGCTTTCACCTCCATTTCTGCCTGGCCCTCACTTGGGGAAGGTGTAGACATGTCTGCTTCCCTGGACTGACGCGGACCTCTATGCCCCTGGGAAACTGGCAGCTACAGGCCCATGCCCTCCGTCACATGAGCTGCCAAACTCGCACACGCCCACTGTCGTCACAGAGCCGCCACACCAACTCAGATCTCAAACCCAGGGGCAAAGTTTCCCCACAAGCTAAGCTAGTGTCGTCAACCCTGCTTGTCCATTGGTCATGGATGGACACATGGTTGTTCCCGCTTCTGGCTGTTTGGATGCACTGTGTGGACACTTGTGCCCAACCTGTGTGTGGTCGCAGGTCTCCAGGCCTGACGTGTACCAGGACCGGGGCTGCCGGGTCATGAGGGGTGCTGCTGCAGCAGGCAGCGCCCTCTCTCCTGTCAAGGGTGCAAAAGACGGAAGACTGTCCGTGTTCCAGAGGAGTGAAGCCACCACAACCAGGCAGTGGCCTCTGCTGCCCTGGCCCACCTTCCCGTGGAACGTCGAGGCTTTAGAAAGTGTGCTGCATGTCTTCCTGGCTGCGTGGCCCTGACGAAGGCAGAGGACGTGCTCCCCAGCTGAAGGTGCGTGGAAGGCCTCAGCGTGCATGGGGGCTGGAGGCTCCGCTCAGGACCTCTGTTCCAGGAGACTTTGGTGGCGAAGGCACTGGCCTCTGACTGCAGCTTCTTCCGGAACCGCAGGTTTTTTCTTAATCCTATCTTGCAAACCCAGAGGAGACCTGGGAGGCAGGAGGGGTCTGTGGGCGGGAGGGTGCTTCCTCACTCCTGGGAGCACTCTGCAGGGCCGACGGCAGCCCTAAGGCTTCAGACCTCCGAGTTCCCGCATTCATCCATCCAGCCCGCCCACATGTCCTAGACTCTGACCAGACAGGGCTGGGCGCCTCTGGATGGGTGAGGGGCTGTAAGCTGTACCCCATTCTGGCCCCAACCCCTGCAGGGAGGGTGTGGTCCTTTGGCAGGTCACGTGGTCAGCAGGGGAGTGGACCTTGCCAGGTGCAGTACCAAGCTGTGGGATACCCCCTTTCTTGGAACAGCATCTGCTCAGATGGAAGGGGTGGCACAGATAACTGACCAGGAGATGGAGCCTCGGGCAGCCAGTCCACAGTGGGTGATGGTCCCTCGGGACTCTCAACCAGATACAAGCTCATTCTCCGATGGTGCCAGGCCTGGGGCTGGGAGGTCAGCCAGGTCATCCTGCAGCAGGCCAGAGTCTCGATACCCAGTTACAGGTTCAACACCAACCTGACAGGCAGTGGTGTGCAGATGGGGAGGATGTGTGGAGAAGGCGGAAAGGGAGGCTGGGGCTTCAGGGGACAGAGCAGCACCCTGTGCTGCCGGAGCCTGCACCCCCTCAGCTGCCGTGTCGGGCCTGCTGTTTCACTTGCCAGAACCCTGCCCCTTCTGGCTGCACCCCCCTCTCCCTCGAAGTGTTGTCTGGTCTGGTGGACCAGCCTCCCTTTCTAGGAGTGGGCTCTGGGTTCCAGCTGGACAGGTCAGCACAGGCCCCTTCCCCAGTGTGCTTGGCTCGGGCTGTGACCCACATCAGGATGGTGGGACTACTGGGTACAGCCACTGTCTCACCAGGTCTCTGACTGAGGGACGGGGGAACCTGGTGTGACCTGGGCCATCATGGGGCCATCACAGGGCCACTCTGGGGCCAGCTCAGAGACAGCAGAGGATGGGAGGGTGGAGACGGGATCCCACCTGCCTGAAGCCAGGGTGAGTTGGTCAGGTTAGTTAGGAGAGCCAGGGAGTTGCCATTTTCTGCTTAGATCACTTTGTTTCCTGTCATTTTGGCATAAAAAAGTCCTTGAGTTCTTTGTCAGTCTTTTTTTTTAAATATTTTTTTTTAGTTGTAGATGGACGTAATACCTTTATTTTGTTTATTTGTTTATGTGGTGCTGGGGATCGAACCCAGGGCTTCACACATGCCAGGCAAGCACTCCACCACTGAGCCACAACCCCAGCACCCCACCCCCCAGCTGTCAGTCTTTCTGATGCGTCTGCACTAACCAGGATAGAAGGATGGAAATCCTCCAGAGCTCTTTGGATTTCTGCTGCCAAAGAACCCCCAAACCACAAGAAGAACCTGTAGGAAAGAGCCCCTGGGCACAGCAGGGGCCATCCTGCCCCAGCCCTAGGGAACCCAGACAGGCGCGTGGGGGTGGTGCTCAAACTCCCTGAGATGCTGGTCACACTCCACCACCCAAAACTTGCCTGCTCCAAAACAGCCCTGTAGAAATCACACTGTGAGCCCATGTGTGATTTTACACTCTCTAGCCACAGCAGAACAGCATATAGATGAAATGAAGATTAACACCATATTTTACATAACGCCAAACGCCATCATTTCAACAAATCTTTGATGTGAAAAGTTAGTATTGAACTCTGAGCAGGACACGCGACTTTTCCACACCCTGTCATCCTGGAAAGGAAAGACACACAGAGCAGAAAGACTAAGCCCTACCCCTACACCCCTAGAGTTAGTTCCTCCAAAAGAGACCACACAGCTACCCTTGAGAGGGACTCAAACTTTGGAAAGACTGAACACTGCAACGGAAACTGCTTCTCAGACTGTGGAGCTGCTCATGACTAAGTAAAGCCTGCTGTGGAAAGCTGTCAGTGACCTTAACCAGCATGACTTGACTGTGGTGACCTCTGGAGGAGGATTGTGGATGGGTATATTTTCAGGCATATATGAGGGCCATTGACTTTTTGTAATAGATAACTAGTACTTTAATAATCATAAAATGTGATATTTATATTGTTTTTCTCATACCAAGTCTCTGAAATCCAAGTGTATCTCACTCATATGCCACTTCTCAGTTCCCACCAGCCACAACTGGCGGACACCTGGTATGGCTGGGGATCACTGTGCTGCTCAGTGGATAGGTGGAAAAGCTCTCTTGGAGCTCTCTGCCGGCCTGCAGCCCGTGGGAACTGATAGGTGCCCAGATGGCCTCAACTGTCCTGAACTGGATGAGGTCTTTGCCCACTGGGTGCTCCCAGGACAGCCAGGTCCACCCGACGGGGGAGCAGACTGAAGTCCAAGCCTAGGAGAGTGGGAGCTAAGCTTCCACGTGACCCGTGTCTCCGGGTCACTCAGTGACACCGGGTTCCTCGGATAAGTGCCCCGGGGAACCGAGCTGCCCTAGACAGGGCGGCCAGGAGAGGGACCTCGGGGATACTCCCCCTCCTACTCTCCGCGCCGGACCTCTGGCCAGATGCTGGAAGCCGCGGCGCGGGTCGCGGTGAAATGGGGCGGCGGGCGGCTGCGCAGGGCCAAGCGCCGCGGCTTCCCGGCGGAGTCCGCCCCGCGCCCGCCCCGCGCCCGCCCCGCGCCCGCACTCACGTCGTCCATGAGCAGCACCACGATGTTGGGGGGCTGCCGAGCGCCGGCGGCCGCGATCCCCGCGGTGCTCAGCACCAGCAGCAGCCGCCACCCCTTCGTCGCCGCGGCAACCGCCCTCATGACAACCGAACCGGGCGCCGCAGGGCCCAACCTGCCGGGAGAAACTGGGAAGAGGCCCGCGCCCCTTCCGGCCCAGCCGCGGGGCGGGGTGAGTGACGGGGCGAGGGGCGGGGCCCGCGCGGCGGCGTGCGGGGTGGGCGGGGCCACAGCCGCCGGGACCCCGCCCAGACGGGAGCTGAGCGACGGAAGGGCGCGGGGCCCACTCGGCGGAGCGCGGGGTGGGCGGGGCCACAGCCGCCGGGACCCCGCCCGGTCAACTGCTGAGGGACGGGCGGGCCGAGGGACGGGCGGGACCTGGCCGGCGGTCACGTGATCCGCGCAGGGCCTCCCAAGATGGCGGTGTGCATCGCGGTGATCGCCAAGGAGGTGCGTGCCGCGGTTGGCGGAGAGCGGCCCCCGCCCCGGCCCGCGCCCCCTCCGGCCTGACTTGTCCCCCCGGCGCCCGCCGAGCCGCGGCCGGGCCGCCCGGAGTTGTGCGGTCCTCCTCCCGCAGCCTCTCCCCGCTTCCCGCTTTCCGATCCAGCCGCCGCTCCCCAGTCTGTTAGAGACAAAGCGGGTTCTGTTGCGCCTGTGTCGAAAAGCTGTCCCCGGCTCCCGGCGGCGTGGCGTGGCGTCCCCCTCCCTTGCCACCTGCCCCTCCTCTCCCACCGAGCCTGTCCGCCGCCCCACGCGGCCCTGCGCGCTCACCTTGGCCGCGGCCCTTGCAGCCCGCTGGCCGCGCGTTTCCTCGGGAAAGCTCTGTCTGAAGGCTCAGGAGCTCAGGGCGACTTAGGAGCTCCTGCTTCCTGGCCCTTCTTCTTGAGACTGGCTTCGGAGGTGGCAGGGACGTGGCCTCTCCGGGCTCTTGGCCAGCTTCCCTCTGAGCACACGCCACAGCTTAGCAGTGCTTAATAGGTGCTCCTACTTAGGGTGGCCTTACATCATTCATCAAAGCACATTTAATCTTTCTGTAAACTCATGCTGAAGTCCAGTGTTTCTTGTTGAGCCGTTATGTGTCAGGGACTATTTTCTGATCTATTGATCAGTTACCAGACAGGTATCAGTCGGTGTGAGCATATTTATTGTTCACCAGATGTCTACATTACCTTATGCTGGGCAAGTGTGAATTGTGGTCTGTGGGAGCCCAGGAAAGGTGCTTGTCTCTGAGGTCTGGCCGGCAGCAGTGCCGAGCTGAGGAGGCTGAGCCAAGTCTCCAAGGGCCTAGTGACAGGGCTCCTGTCCTTGCATGGTGTGGTAAAAACAGCTGGCATTCATGGTGCCATACTGGGAAGGCTCCACAGAGTGGAAGGTGGCCAGGGCACAGTGAACCACAGGTGAGTGACCCACCCAGGTGACAGGGCCAGTTGTCAGGGGGCACTCAAGCCCCTTTTTATGGGTCCTTTCTGCCCACCCTTATGCTGTCCCTCTGCATAAACTGCTTGGATTAGGTCAGGCCCCTGAAGACATACCCACAACAGTGTGGAGAATTAAGCTGTGGATTTTAGAGTGAGAGCACATCTCCTAGGGGGGTTGGCAGGCCACAAGGCCACTCTCAGGGTGCTCTTTGGCACTAGTCAGAGCTGGCACAGGCTGGGTGGGTGCCTGCCCTTTCAGTTGCCACTGTCCTTTCTTGCAGAATTACCCCCTGTACATCCGCAGCACCCCCATGGAGAGTGAACTGAAGTTCCACTACATGGTGCACACCTCCCTGGATGTGGTAGATGAGAAGATCTCCACCATGGGGAAGGCCCTGGTGGACCAGAGGGAGCTCTACCTGGGCCTGCTGTACCCAACAGAGGACTACAAGGTGTATCTTTTAGGATGCTGTCATCTCAGGGTGTGCTTTGGGAATCACTTGAAAAAAAAAGTTAGAGTTTCAGTTATCCAAGGAGATTGAGGGGCCTGAAGCTAACGAAGTCTTCCTTTGAATCTCCTTTTAATTGAAGATGCATTTGGGAAATGCTGGACTTGCACTTCTGGAAGACGGGGAAGACTGGGGGGCGGGTTTCCTTGCCCTGTACCAGCAGGTGTGTCTTCTGTGCTCTGCAGGGGCTGCCACCTTAGAGCAACAGTGATTTCATTGTTAGGTCCTGCCTCACGCACCACTGGATGCTCTTGACCTTAGGATAAGGTTGAGACCTCGGAGTTCAGAGAGAGCCCCTCAGGCGGTAATGCAGCTTGTGTACACCAGCATTGGCCTGGAAGCCGCGTGTTACACTATGATATGACCTCTGGGGCAGCGGTGGGGGATTCACCTTATCTATTTGCAGTTGGCTTCCTGGGCCCAGTATTGCTTTATAAAGAGGGTTAGGCATCCCCAGTGTCCAGAAGGACTTGGGTCTGTGAATTGGTGGGGTTACGTGCCTCCAACAGTCACCTTGGCATTCCAGGTGTGCAGTTTCCCACCTGCATTGTGCTGCAGGACCATCCTGGCCTGGGCACTTCCTGTGACTCAGGGTGTCTGGCTCCTCCAAGCAAGGATACCCGGAGGTCCCTTAGCTCATAGGCGCTTTTAAAAAGTGTTTATTTATTTATTTTTGTGGTGCTGGGGATCGAACCCAGGGCCTTGTGCATGTGAGGCAAGCACTCCACCAACTGAGCTGTAGCTCCAGCCTGGCTCTTGGTGTGGGGCTGGGCCAGTTGCTGTCATGCATCCCGTGTTAGAGCATGTTCCCTGACTCACTGTGCAGATACGGCTACGTGACCAACTCCAAGGTGAAGTTTGTCATGGTGGTGGATTCCTCCAACACAGCCCTTCGAGACAACGAAATCCGCAGTGTAGGTGCAGGGCTCTGAGGCCACGCCTGGGGGGTCGTCTTGTATTCTCTTTCTCACTGAGTTGAAATCCTAGGAAGCCACAGGTCTGGCAGTGCCATGTGTATGTTGGGTCTTGTTTCAGATGTTCCGGAAGCTGCATAACTCCTACACAGATGTGATGTGCAACCCCTTCTACAACCCTGGGGACCGCATCCAGTCCAGGTGGGCCGTGCTTTCCAGTCTCCTCTCTGTACAAGGCCTGCCTTGCTGAAAAGGCCAGCCTTGGAAGGTCAGGAGCCCTGTGCCCCCGAGGTCCACTTAAAGCAGCAAAACCCTGATCTCTGAACCAGCTCTGACAGATCTCCAGGTACAGAGCAGATGGAAGGAGGGGGCAGAACTTGCCCATTTGGTTTCCCAAGTGAGCCCCCAATTACCTGAGGTCCTCGGGGGAGTTAAGCAAAGGCCCAAGCTTATAGACACCTGTTCAGGGAGAAGATCTGCTGTGTCTTCACCTGAACTGCTTTTCACGTTGAGCTGGGATGGTCAGGAACCTGGATCACGGGTTTTGCGGGTTGCTCTCAGATGGACAGACCTGGGGCAGGGTGGTGCAGTGGTGTAGAGCACCTGCCTGGCATGCACGAGGCCCAGGTTCAACCCCCAGTGCCACAGACAAGTAGAGCAACAAGTGAAAATACTCAAGGCTTGAATGAACTTCAGGAAGGCACTCCATCGAGGAGCGCAGGGTTCGTGAGCTCACACTCCAGACCTGCTTCCCAGAATCCCTTGTTCCAGAAAGTTCCCAAGAGGCCCTTCTCTCAGCCTCGACCCTGTGTGTCAGGTCCTCCTAGGTCCCAGGTGAGAGCAGGCAGGTGTTCCTGGGCTCCACAGGGCAGGGCCAGCACTGTTGTCGTCACTGCTGCCTGCCCACCTGGCTCCCTCCCTGACCCGTCTGCGACCTCTGGACCTCCATGCTGTGAGGACCCACCGCCAGGGAGGGCTGTGGGCAGCTGTGGTCTCATTCCTGGTGTAGTGAGACTGGCCTCACTGAGTTCACTTGCCTGGCCCTGAGCAGCCCTGAGCATCTGGGGTTGGGGTGGTGTCTGGTGACCAGCAGAGGGACAGAGGCTTGGAGACCGGCTGCCTCTGAATGGGCCCATTTCCTGCATAGGGCCTTCGACAACATGGTGACGTCTATGATGATCCAAGTGTGCTGAGCAGGACTCGGCCCTGAGGAGACGCCTGTGCGGAGCTGTTTAGAGACTTCCGTTTCTGTCATTTCTGTCCTGAGTGTTGAGACGTGCCCGGGGGCTGGGTGGGCTTGTGCGGGTGCCTCCCCACTAAAGGCCTTTTGAGGTGAGATGCGCTTGGTTCTTCTCTCTCAGCAGAGGGCTCTTGCTGAGGCCCCCTGTAGCACCAAGGGAGGCTGTGGCCACGGCAGGAGGTGCAGGGAAGGGGCAGGGGACAGGATGTCAGCCTCCGCCTCTCACCTCTTGCTGGACGGCGCAGAACCAGCCTCCAGGGTGGAGGCGTGGGTAACTGCCCACACCTTCAGGAGCAGGAGGGGCTCTGGGTGTGGGACTTCTCCCCCCTCCTGGACACCCACCTGGACTCTGCTGTGGGCACAATTCCCCACTTGCCCCTGCTTCCCGACCACAGAGCCTTCCCTCCTGCTCCTGCCAAGGTGGTCAGCAGAGGCGTCCAGGCTGCTGCTCCAGCCCCTGGCTTCCCTGAGACCTCTGCAGCCAGAGGCCACGTAGCAACCCTAGCTGTGACCAGCAGAGTGGCAGCACCTTCTCATCAGGTGGCTGGGGGCTGTCTTTCCTTTTGTCATTCAGTGGCTTGTCTGAGAGGTGAGGGTTGTTTGTTTTTTTTGGTACTGGGGGTTGAAGCCAGGGGCACTTTACCGTAGAGCCACATCCCAGCCCTTTAAAAAAGTTCTTATTTGGAGACAAGGTCTCACTAAGTTGTTGAGGGTCTCGCTCAGTGGCCCAGACTGGCTTTGAACTTGGGGTGCTGCTGCCTCAGCCTCCTGAGTTGCTGGGGTTCTTAGTGTGCCCTGTTCCCTGGCTGTTCTTTCTTTTTATTTTGGGGTACTGGAGATTTAAATGCCTTTAAAGCCAGTGGCTTCCTGAGTCGTGGTGCCCCTCTGAGCCCTGCCCTCCTGTGCATTTTGTCAGGACTCCCAGGGCCCAGGAGGGCCTGGGACGGGCGGTGTGTTGACGGCCCCTTGGCTGCAGTGGTGTGGAGGTGAGCTGCTTCTCCTTGTCTTTGTTACTGACTCCCCTTCAGCAAGCATGGTGCTGATTTTTAAAAAATACATGGGAAGAAAGCCCTAGGCCCTGGTCACCTGGGGGAACAGGAAGACCTGGAGCAGGCCTGGAGGTGCAGTGAGCAATGGCTACCTCTGATGTCCTGGCCCCAGGCTCTCCCGGGGCCTTTGGTCTTCAACGAGAGGCTTGTGTTTGGAGAGGGAGGACAGGACGGACGGCAGCCCATGGTAGCACCCTGGTTGGCCCTCAGTGTTGGCTGTGGTCGGGACAAAACAAAGTGCATGTGCCCGACGCCCATTCTCCTCTCCTTCCCAGCAGAACCCCAGCTTTACTGGAGACTGTTGGCCAGATAGACAGCAGTCCCCCACTCTGGCACAGCAGGACAGGTCGTCCAGGCCTCCAAGTGCATGCTATTGCAAGAGAACCGCAGGTTGACAGCTGACAACTGCAGGTTGCTTGAACTCAGGTTCAATCTGAGCCCCGTCCCCAGCCCTATCCGGTATTTTATTTAGAGACAGGGTCTCACTGAGTTGCTTGGTGCCTCGTCGTGGCTGAGGCTGGCTTTGAACTCACAATCTCCCCGCCTCAGCCTCCTGAGCTGCTGGGATTCCAGGCGTGTGGCACCACACCTGACAGGAGAGACCATTTATAAGGGGGTTCAGCTGGCTATGGAGTATCCTTCACCATGTCCTATCAGGAACATTGGTGTGATGGCTGGAGCTCAGATAATCCTTCTAAGGGCATGAGGACAAGATTCATGCTGTGAGGATGGGGATCCGTGCTCACTGAGCCTGGACCTGTCTGGCATGTGGCCCTGGACTGTTTACCTTCAGCTTTTTTCATGTAAGAAAACAGACTCCTCTTGTTCAAGCTGCTGTGTGGGTGTTCTGTCAGGGTGGCCAGGCCACTCCGGAGTGTGCTTCATGCCGGGGGTTTTCCCACGCGTTGTTAGGTGGCCTCCCCATGTTAAGCTCTGGAAGACCAGAGTCAGAAGTCATCATGTGTGGACGGGAGCTGCGGCAGGGTCCACTCACTCTGCCCGAGTGCAACCTGTCGCCCGGCTCCCCTCCAGGTGGCTCTCCAGGGCTGCTCCCTCAGCCTCCCTGTTAGTGGCCACCCTGTGTGGCCAGAGCCATGGCACCTCCACACAGCGGCAGTGCTGGAGGCCACGCTGAGGAGGGCCGGCATCTCAGCCCCCGCCCCCCAGCCTGCGCAGGTCCCCGACCCCTGGGAAAGGAGGGCTTCCTGGTCCCCAGAGGAGTATGCTGCCTCACGGGCCAGAAGACTGCTGGGCATCAGACGGAAGGCAGCCCCTGGGCCCTGGGGGGGGGAGGGAGGGGGGGAGGATGGGTGGGTGGGAGGATGGGCGGCCGGAGCCCCACCCCACCACCTCGTGAGCCTCAGCCCAGGAGTGAGCCTGCTGCAGCCCCTCCCCCAGTGGCCCAGCAGGCTCCTCTCTTGGCAGGACCTTGACCCTCAGCCTCGTGGGCCCCACCTGGGTGGGCCTGGAGCCAGATGCACCTCCCCTCCAGGGCGGGCCACTTGCAGACTGCACTGCCCATTGGGTGGAGCAGACCCAGGCCAGCTGGACGTCTGACTCACCAGACACAGGGGCCTAAGGAGTCAGAGCTGCGCTAACGCGTCCCCCAGGTGGCCTTGAAGCGGCTCCTGCTCTGGCGATTCTTGGCCCCTTGACTGGGCGCGTCACTCCTGCTCTCCCCCTGCCTGTCCTGTCTGGTGTTTCTGGGTTCAGTGTCATGTGTCACTGAACCTAGGGTCGAAGGTCCCGGGTAGTCCAGGAGAACCTCAGCTGGAGGCTTTTTTTCCCTGTACCAGGGATTGAACCCAGGGCGCTTTCCCACTTAGCCACATCCCCAGCCACCCGCCCCCCTGCTTTTTAAAATATTTTATTTAGAGACAGGGTCTAAGTTGCTTAGAGCCTCACTAAGTTGCTGAGGCTGGCTTTGAACTCTGATCCTTCTGCCTCGGCCTCCAGAACCCTGGATCACAGGCCTGCGCTGCTGTGCCCAGCTTTATTTTTGTTTTGAGAGGTGGTCCGAGTTACCCCGGCTGTCTCACATGCCCCATCCTCCTGCCTCAGCCTCTTAAATAGCGGGTTACAGGTGTGCACGTCATGCTTCACAGAAAGAAAGTCTCTGAAAGTGTGTTGAAAGGTTTCTGGATGACTCAGGTGTGACGGCCACACCTGTGATCCCAGCTAGGACTCTGTCTCAAAAAATAAACAGGACTGGGGATTGACCAGTGGTAAAGTGCCCAAGGCTTAATCCTGTTCAAAAGAGAGGCTTTCCAGGGGCTGGAATGGAGCTGTGGCTCAGTGGTAGAGCGCTTTCCCGGCACGTGTGAGGCCCTGGGTCCGATCCTCAGCACCACATGAAAATGAAATAAAAACAAAAGTGAAGGCAGTGTGTCCATAAACGACTAAAAGCTACCGAAAAGAGAGAAAGGACTTTGCAAGTGAGTTCACACTGACGGATTTTGGAGGTTGGGACGTGGCCCTGTTTGGGGCACCACTCCCCTTGCTGGAAAGGCCAGCGCTGACCCAAGATTACGAGGGGACAATGGGCACAGGTCCCCGGCAGCGAGAGCCTCTCCTGCTGGATGGGAAGCTCCGCCCGGGACGGAGGCAGACCCACAGCCTGGCCCTGCTCCCTGTGGGCTCTGGGCACAGAGGACCCAAGTGGCAGCTTTCTCAGGACACGGTGCCTGGGGGGGTCTCCACTTCTGCTTCCCGACCTGACCAGGGGGACCTAGGCCAGGTGCCTCCAGGGGTGGGGGGGCCAGTGTGCCCTGGCCCTCAGCCACGTCCCACGGCGCCCTCTGGAGTCCGCCCGGAGGAGCACGCCCAGTGAACTTGGAGGCAGGAGACCTGTCGTCAGTGCTTTTAAAATATTCAGATTTAATATAATTTATGCTTTATTCTAAGACACACAGGTTTCTCTTTTTCTTTAAAACTATCGGTTGAAGAACCAAGTCATCCCATCCCAGCCCCAGGGATGCCTGCCCCTCCTCCTGCTCCCCACCCACATCTCCAGAGCCCCAGGCTGCCACCCACTGGCTGACTGTGTAATTTGTGGCAGTGGCCGTGGGGTCCAGACCACCCTGGTGGACGGTCCAGCCACACAGACCTGGCCATCTGGAACATGTATCCCCCAGGGAAACTTGGCTATCTCCCTGACTGCACCCCTCTCAAAACGCTGTGCCTTCAGTACGGCGAGAAGCGCGGAGAGGCTCTTCCATGGGCCCTGTGGGAACAGGGAGGCCCACGGTGAGGACACCGGGCAGGGGGATGAGGGCCTCTTGAGAAGGTCCCAGGGAAGGAGGAGCCTGATCTGGCGGCTGCCATGTGTCCAGATGCCCATCTGCCAGGGCAGCCCTGCCATGGACCATGGCCTCACACCAGGGTGCTGCTGAGCCTGGTGGGACCCAGGGGGCAGCTCTCCAGTCCGGCAGGGCCCTCGGGCCCTTATGCAGGCCCCTGGCTCAGCACCCTGGGCAGCCGAGTCCCATCGCCCGATCTCCAGGCCAACACCCACACAGCCCACTCACCAGTGCTGCCCACGAGGTCTGAACCGGGACCGGCACTGGAGGTCACTGCACAGGAAGGCGGCCGCCCTGGAGGCCGAGGGCCCCCGCAGGCCCCCACGGTCTGTGGAGCTGATCCCTGGGAAGTTGGTCCTCTTGGGCAGCACCTGGCACCAGAGGCCACATGAGTTCCGGCCTTGTCCCTGCCTCCTCCTGGCCAGGGTGGCCTGGCAGCAGCCTCAGGCTGGGCCCAGGGCTTGAGGCGCCGAGCTTCTCCGGATGCCCATGTAGGCCTACAGCTCCCCTTGCACCTGGCTGCAGCCATGGTCACGTGACGTGCCTGGTGCTCACTCTTGCAGAGGGAGGAGAGTGTCTCCTTCAGGCCACACCCAGAACAGGTCCAGCTTTGGGAATGAGGGCCCGAGGCTCCTGCCATGCCCTGCCCTGGCCTTGCCCTGCCAACCTGCCCAAGGCACACAAAGAGGGCTTGGCTGGGACAACTGTGTGTCCTTGGGTAGGTGGCCAGCCTCTCTGTGCCCGTTGGCTCCATTCCAAGGACTCGCGATAAGAAGTGCTCGGCACTGCAGTGCACTGGGTGGCCTAGAGGTGTGCAGGACGCCAGAGACAGGTACCTTGATGACGCGGCCCCGGAAGATGCTCTCGTCCAGCTCCATGGCAGCCTGGGCTGAGCTCTCGGTGGCAAACTCTATGTAGGCATAGCTGAGGGCAGCATGGGCACAGTGAGGACCCAGTCTTGCTGCCCACCCAGCCTTGCTGTCCCCCCCGGCCCTGCCCGAGGCCCTGCACCGACCCCTTGGGGTGTCCCGAGAACTTGTCGCACAGGATGGTGACGCGGTGGACCTGGCCGCAGTGGTGGAAGTGGGCCTCCAGCTCCCTGGCCGTGCCCCCATAGTCCACCTGCTGTGGCAGGGCAGCGCTGTGGGGCTGGGCTTGCACAGATCCCGCCCCTCGGGGGTCTCCTTGGCTGAGGGCTTGGGAGGACCCCCAAGACTGGGCCCCTGGCCGGGGGTCATCGAGGCCCTGGTCCCCGGAGGACAGGCTGAGAGGGGTTCCCCCCACCCCCCTCGGTGCACTCAGGCCTGGGGCCTTGGCTCAGGCGAGGGGCACAAGGCTTGTTAAAGGTAGTAAACCTCACCCGAAGATCCCACTCGGTGGCACTGGGGAGTCCTCACGTGGGACAGCAGGCCCATGTTGCCCCCAGGGGACAGACGGGCCCACCCCAACCTTCCTGGAGGCCAGATATGCCCCCTCCCTCCATCCCTCCATCTGGTGAGTCCCAGCCACAGAGGACACTAGTGTGACCACCTGCCTACCCTGGGGTCTGCGCCTTCGGGAGGGACGAGCCCTTGCTGCCCTCCCCCCACTCACGTTGCCCACGTAGATGGATCTGTGGTCAGCCTCCACCTTCTCCTTGGGGGTCCCAGGGAAGGGGCAGCCTGTGGAGACAAGGCCTCAGGACCAGAAGGCCCCCCACAGTGGGCACCTCCCACCGGGGGTCCATTCCCCACCCCTCAGGGAAGGTCGCCCTGCTCCGCGGGGGTCTTGGGGCTCCTACCTGTGGTCCCAGGGCTGCTTAGCAGCCGCCCAGTCCCTGTGCCGTCCTCTGCCCTGGTCCTGCCCTGGATGCTGGGTGGCTCCGGCCGCTGCTTCGCCTGCTCCAGGGCCCATAGCTTCAGCTTGATGGCCTCCAGCTCTTGCAGCCCCTGCCCGCAGTCAACCTGGGAGGGGGACAGCCTGTGGGCCCTTCCAGAGGGAGGGCAGCTGTGGCCGGCCAGCCCTGGCAGAGGGTCACAGCCCCTTCGGGGCAAACCCTTCTCTGGACAGGATACAACCTCCTGGAGGGAAGCTCCTGGGCCCACGGACTCCACCCGAGGCCTCCCCAGCTGGAGGCGCTCGCCTCAGTGCCGCCTCGCCCAGGCGGGTGGGCCCAGCCCTCGGCCACCCCGCAGGGTGCTACCTGGTCCGGCCCTGGGCTCTCGGCC